TCACATTTAACACAATCGGCATTTAACTTGGAAAGCTCTCTTGGAGATCTTTAAAAGTTGCGTTATATAATGAAATATTCGCAGCTGATAAAATATTATTTATTTCTTACGCGAATCTTAGTTATTTATTGCAACTGAGACTAGAAATATTAATGTAGAAGTATTTAATGAAATGATATAGATATCGATGAAGATAAACGATGCTGTTGGATTTTGTTTCAAAACAACTTAAATATGTGTGGGCATCTGTATAAATTTACATAACTAGTATGTATTCATTTCGTGACCAATAGATTTGAAGGATTTTGTAAATAGTTTTTGATTTTTGAACTTTTTCGACAAGGTAAATGACGAACTCAAGACTCATCTATGCAAATATCGCAGCGCATATATAAAATTATATAATAATAGTCAATGGTGATGAGTTTAGTCAAATATTATACGTGAAGCACCATCTTATAATTTAATCTATTTAATTTGTAGTGTGATAAACCATATTTGCAAGTTGTAATGCAGATTATGGTAGATAGAACAGAATTATTTAAAAAAAAATAAATTGCATAATTTAATATATAAAAGTATCTAAGACGATAACTTTAGATGTAAGTTTAGATATTGTATATAACGTCGCATTGTAAAAATCCAATGTTTATATATATATATATATATATATATATATATATATATATATATATATATATATATATATATATAATACTGTAATATTTTTTCACAAAATTTGTCACCTGCTGCTTTTTACCATATAGGCAGGGTAAAATAGCACTGTCAAGAAGCCAACAAAAGTAAAGTCAAAATGTCAAATGTTTTACAAAAATAACACGGTATATAACCTCGACCTGGTATTTCGTCAGAAATATTCATCAGAGTTACAATAATTATTCATTTAATTCATCTCTTTTCATTTAGACTTTTTATTGTTTACACTTCTGCTAGGGTTAAGATTCATTTGGTCCTTTTTATCCCACCCATTAGGTAAGTTTATTGTAGAGGTTATGTAATAAACTGTTGAATTTAACTTAAAGTTAACAATACATATTACAAAACAATTAAATTACGTATACTTGAAAATTATATTAAGATCTCGTAAACTGAACAAAATTGCTTATAAGCAAAAAAGCTAACAACGAAAGAAATTACTTTTGCTATAAATTTTCAAACATCAAAGTGATAGCTGGTTAAACATGTGTTTTTCCTCTGCTTTCAAATATTGATTTAATTTTTTTTAACGTAACTTGTTTCTGAAATATCGATGGAGCACCTTTTTACCTCGGACTTTTAACCCTATGCTCCTTTCCTATACATTTTTACATTCTAAAATGTGGTGCTACCAATTTTCTTCAAATTCTCCGCATGATCATGATAGCGCATTTTTTTGTATAACTACTAATTCATGTTTTAGATCGTTCCAATGCATTTTATCTATCTATCTCTCAACACATATTTTTGACTGTATCGAATCTGTTCTTCAACCTGTGCTAATTTTACGACTTTAATTTTAGTACCGTACAAATATCGCAATTTCACATTTAATTAAACAATTTACGATCGCCAGATGAAAATATCGCCGCCGCGCGATGATTTCTTTTGTGTTCGCGATTCTCTGGCGAAAGTCAGGACGGTAGTTTGAGAGAGATAAATTTTTAGAGATCTGGTAGAAATTTCATGCAGTAATAATAAAACAATAATAAATTATATCAAACTAACAGAAATAAATGTATTCGATTATTAAACTTATTTAATAGAAATATGTATTTTCAATTATTCAATCTATTTTTATGTATCTATTCATGAACTTGGAAACATGAGACACTACAGTATTCTTCCATTTAGCAATAAATTAAATACGATTTCAAGAATTTTGGTATAATTACAGCTTTGGAATATATTTATAATCATCAGTTTCTCGAATGAGAAGTTAATTTTTCGCTAACAAACCGACTTGCTTAATTTTTTTTAACCTGGATACTTGAAAAACAAAATAGGGAAAGCATGTGAGCTAATTTTTGACCCAACGTCAAAATCAACAATTTCAAAAATCCTAAAACAATTCGACAAAGTCCCACAAATTTTAGTCCGCTTTTTAATACATAATGCTTTGAAATAAATTTATTATTAGTAAGTTCTTATTTAAATGAACAGTGTACGATATGTTACAATAGATTTTGTTGTAAAATTTTAGTACGCTTTTTAAATTAGTAAATAGCCACAAAAATGTTGGCTGTGTTTGTTTGAATTAGCTTTTAATATTGTTGGAATTACTTCTGATTACATATAACTATTTGATAGTATTTAATAGTAGTATTCTTAAAGTATTTGATTCTTGGCACACTGATATAGTAGAATGTCAAGAGAGCAATCTAGATTTAAAAAATTCGGACGGAATTATTTTCTACAAAGCCCATTTTCAATATGATTTGGCCAATCTGATCTGTTTCCTCTTTTTTATGCCAATCTTATGTCTTTCTAATTTCAATTTACTGTAAATTGTTTACTAATGTTATATTTATTTTTACTTAGTGCATCAATTGTTCTGCATCTTTATATTTACTTTTATTATGATTGTGTTAGAGATCTTTCTCGCTAAAAATGCGGATGTTCTGCCGGATTTGACCTAAATTTGTTTTGTTGCACTATTGTTGCGTTTGTATTTAGAAGGAAAATCTGTTCCATGAGAAGCAGAATAAAAATCTACAATATGCTTTGGCCTATATATAATATGTAATTATTGTGGTGTGGTTATTAGACCAGATACAAATAATGCAGTGGAAACTGTTTTGTGTTTTGATTTATGCTTCTTTTCGATTTAAATCGAGTTGAAAGAATTTTCTAATAAAATCATGACAGACAAGTGGACTTTAAATTCTTATAGATTTACCGCAAATAAGTTTTATAATTCTTTCATATTATTGTTATAAATAAAATCATTCAAAAAATTACTAGGCTATGTTATGTAATTATTTTACTTAATACATAATTTGATTTCGTAAATTATTATTATTCGTCATAATATTATATATGTGCTTTCAGGATGAATGTAACAATTATAGCATAATAAAAGAAATAAGGGACCAACTTTCTTACAATTAGAAAAGTTACGGCAACGCAATGTTATGTTTGTTTTTTCACACAAATTAGTAGTCAAAATGCTATGTGGCTGTACGATTAGTCGTTTTACACATAAGACCTAACTTCACGTATGTGTCAATGGCACATCAGAAAGATGCAGTTGATTTCAATGTTTATTAAACGTAATGCGTTTTTTAGGTTAGGTTTCATATCGGAAACGTCTGACTGCACAGCAAATGCATAGCAATCGGACAGTTTTTAATACCAAATTATATGAAAATTGGACTTTAACAAAGCATTGTCCTAACAACGCTCTGTTACATTTCTATTTTATCGGAGTATTAGCCTCTAAGTATTTATAAGTGATTAGTACAATTAGGTAATTAGTAATGAGTAAATATGTATAGTATTTTCACCAGATTGAATAGAAGGTGTTTCACTAAAGTTGCATCAAATCTTAAAGAAATAATTATATTTATAATACAATGATTAGTAATTGAATTTTTATCTAGTCCTATTTTTGATGCAGCAGGGAAGTTACAGAACATTCTTTTCATATTTAATATCAAGCTACTCTCCTCTGTTCCTCCCATTACATACTTTATTTCATACTTTTCAGTTTTGTCACAGATCGTTTAATACACATTTTATTGACAGTTTTTTTTGCAATTCAATTCCTAAAGTTCAAATGTAGCAATTCCAGTATTATCATTGCATGCAGTATAACTATTTCACAATAGTCATCGCGAGTCGAGCGCATATGTGCATTTGTGATATATTATTATTCAATTGACATTTCAGCAAAAGTTTCGCTCGTCTACGATTTTCGAATATTTTTCCATAAATTGTAATACATCCATGATAGAAACTTGTTTGGAATAGTTTATTTTTGTATGTTAGTTATTAAGTTTGTATAATAATTGGTGATATGTATGATTTCATCGGAATATAATATTTGCACAAAAATGAATTCATGTTGTGCTAAAGATACCAATGTAGTTCAGTTTTACTGTAATCCATAGAATACTTTTTTTCCTAAATACGTGGTTCCTAAATTTTTAATAATCCCAGATATTAATTACCAAACTTAAATTTATCATTTGATAATTATGTTAAATTATTAAATTTAATATTATGTGTTAATTTTAGCTAATATATCTGATATTGGCCTAAATAACCAAATATATTTATATTGATCAAATGATATATTTAAATTGATCATTTTTTAATTTAAAGAGAAAAATTAGAGTACGATAGCGTGAAACCGCCAAACAAATTTATTTAATGAATACATTAACAAATTACATTCCATATTTTAATATTTAATGTTAGTTAATAATAAAACAATTTAGTATTTATTATTATAATAAGTCAATATATTATTTCAAATATAAGTAATGAATCAAATGTTAAGAACAATAAAAAATTAATCTATTTAAATAGAAATATAATTACTTGAGTATGAAGGAGGTATCACCCTTAAAACATTAATTTGTATTCAGATATTTTGTAGATCAACAAAACAAGAAGGAAAGTTATCGAAATGACAAATCTTATAATCTTATAATTATAATATTACATATACGATATGTACAAAAACTGATTGGAATTTATTGCCTATCATAAAACAATTTCAGTAACAATAATCATTGCTACATTTAATAATTTTCAAATTCCATGTCTAGAATTTTATTACTAATAATTATACTTTATCCGCATTAGTTGGTATATTGGTCAGGGATAAAAAATGATATTACCACATTCTTAAACACCAAAACTTCAACAGTACTTGTTAACGAAAAATACCGCATGAAGGACACTCTAAATCGTATTCTTTAAGTGAATGGATTCTAATTGTATAAAGAATAAACTGTGTGAAACAACAAATTAATGATAAATATGCGTGGACTTACCATGATTTCCAAAAAAGGTAATAAAATGTTATCCGCAACTTGGGCACACGATCAACACTTGCACAAATAACAAATTCAGTCAATAAATGTATTGGATTGTCAGTTTAGGTCTAAAACAATATTTTGAACATAGTTTGTGGGATTTTTTAACACTACAAAAAAGTTGCTAAGGATTCCTCGATCCTCCAAGGAGCGCGAACCTTGTTCCGGGCGAAAAAAAGAGATCGGAAGAAATGCAGGCCCCAAAGACCTCGGAGATCTAAAAATTGTGTTTTATGTTGTGTTCTCGATGGAGGTCGCCGTGGCACTAACAAAGCGCGTGGACATTCTCTTGTTAGATTCAAAGAGACAACGTGCACGAAATGCTGATAACCGAGCCGGTGAAGGGACCCATGGAGAAAGAAGGGGAAACGCATTTTGGGGTACCCCGAGAAGTGGCTTGAACGAAACACGAGCTCAGAATTAAGAGAACTATTAATTTTAGTTATGTTATTCACGTTTTGCATTACAAATGGGTCATAGCGATTTCAATAGTTTTGACTAACAGAGCAGAATCACTTGACATAGTATCTAAATTCAGGAAGTTCAAGCAAATTTTACTTTTGCTCGAGATTGATTTGAAAAAATCGTGGATGAGATTAAAAGGTTGACATTGGAAGCCTTATTATTGAATATAATCCTAAACAAAGTAGCATCATGAATCATTTCTGCAAAATATATTTTTATAAACCCACTGAAGCTTATAAACGAACTGATAAAGGAACCCAATGAGCAGTAATAAGAAATGCACTAAAAATACTCTGAGAACTTATTTTCAAGATATAAAGGCTAGAATTCTCAAAAATGTTTGTCTTATCATTTGGAGAATTCATTAAATCATCATATCATCTTATAATTTTTATACTTGATCAGTAAATTTATTAATTAAGCTCTTTTATTGACTATATGTCATAAGCAAACCATAATCAATGATAATCAATATTATTTCGTGCACTGGTTTCGAATAAAATAAGACATTTCATTCATTGAGCTTCGTAAAATTTATTCATGTGAATAATAGCGACTTTGAATGCGCTTTGGATTAATAACCTAGTGTTGTTTTTTATATCACACAAAAACGTATTTTTCGTTTATTCGAAAAACTCTAGAATTAAAAAAAACACAATTTTACACTTGCGAGCTTTTCAAGATTATTACTTTCTTATATTCAAAATTACTTTTAAATTGATTAGAACCGATATCTAACTTAACGCTGTAACCAAACGAATAATAAATAATTAGTCTGAATATTTTTTTTCTATTCATTTTTTTAATAAATTAAAGTAATTACTAGAATTTTATTCTTATAGAACAGACAAGTTACAAATAATAATTTATTTGCCCTTGGTCGTACTTTTTGGTTTATCGAACTCCCGTGTCAACTCGCAGTTAGATCGAGATCACTTTTATTTTTCAATTTAATGATGTTCACCTTGAATGTGGAGAATGTATAATTATTCTAATTTTAGTGGAAGTGCATTCGCTCAGTAACTGGTTCCTGTCTTGTTAAACAGAATAATACCGCTTTTGGCAAGGCGAAATACCCGGAACAACTTTATATTTTTGCTATGACACATTGAATAAATTATGTTTAAAAGAACGTAATATTTCATAAATACAATGTAAGGAACTGTCTCATAAAATATATAAAATATCATTGCATTATTAACATGTTAAATCGTGTGCGATTAGCAGAATACTCCTAAATAATTATTATGATCTGCATAAGAAAAAAAATTATTAAATTTATTGAAAACCGATTTAACATTATAAAAAATATATACGAGCATTTGCAGGATTGCAAAATTTCAGTTTTATGTTATTTAAGATTACAAATGTATAGAAAATATTTATTTATTCAGTACAATTTCAATCATAAATTGATTATCGAAGAAAAAACAATAAAATCTTTTATGTAGAACTTCTTAAAATATTGTCCAGTTTATCATCATATCTTATTGTTATAAGTCCTCATGAATAAAATAATAAATCTATTACTTACAATTTAACCAAGATATCAAACAACTATTTGTATGGTAAAATCTATACTGAAGCATTTATGATTGAAAAACTTGAATTTTATAATAAATTATACAAAAATATAGAAATTATTAATATTTTAGTACAAATCGATTATCGATATGTCCAAACATCAAAATTTAATATGACCTACACAATGCAAATAAACTATATGTAATAAAATCTTGTATAAGGCATGTTTTAAATTATCATACTAGACGATAATTATACTATCATAATATTATATTGCTCTTAGTACAAAAAGTGAACACTATGAAGAAATATATTGAATACAAATGTGAAAAGAAAAGGAAACAGGTTCAGATCCTTATTGAGAACAAAGTGCCTTCTGCACTACATGTTCTTACAAAGAATAAATGAAAGGACTAAAAAATGCAGAATAATGCACAACCTAGAAAACTTTAATAAAAAAAATACAGAAAATTGAGAGCTAAGATATAAAACATGGAAGTATGAATAGAAGTAGAATTCGTATAAGTAAAAGAGGATTACAAATATACTAGACAAGATGGGTAGATAAAGTGTTGTGCGCTCATACCACACACTTGTCTTTGTTCACCAATAACAAGTATAATTATTATTATATAGTGAATTAGTATATAATCAAATAATACACGTTTGTTTACAATAATAATCGAACTTTAACTTTCAAAATTCTCAATCTATTAATTATGCTTCTAGAATAAATTATAGCAATCGTACGGCAATAGATGTTGCTTTCGATTCGGATTTGGTAACTAGGCTAAGCGATAGTTTTTGTCGATGTTTACTGACACACTACAACGATTTAATAATATTTCTCCTCATTTTCAACTAATGGGACAAGTTTAATTTCACGCAAAATTTATTACGACATCACTAAATCTGCTCAATTAAGAAGCGTAAAAAATAATAGTAAAAGAATCAAATGAAATCGTAGTAAAAAAACATGAACCTTAGCGTAGATAAGTAAATGAGATACTTGCCTCAACGATATGTTTTTCTCATTTTAGCAACAATCAGCACCTTTGTCATGAGAGCTGGTGTGCTAAATTTTTTTTTTACACAGTACTGAGATGGCAACCCAACACTCCTTCTATCTATAACAAAAAAAACAGATTTTATTATAAAATGTAATAATCACAATGTGTATTAAATAAAAATGTTGAAAATAAATTCTTTGATTCAATATTGTTATTTTTTCCTTTATATAACAAACATGCTTTTATGGCTAATATACCGCTACATCAACTACCCAGAGTGCAAAGATATTTTTTTTTAGTATTTTAATTTCATTCAGATGCTAAAATGACTAATATTAGATATTGACAACATTGAACACAATTAAATAAAAATAAAGAGCTCAATTTATTAAATTAGCTCATTAGAAATCCGTTTAAATTAATTTTGTGCCATCCCAATAAATTGAACTTGCAGTGTTTAATGTTTTTTGTTTAAAATTTACTCTTTACTTATTTCTTAAATAGTTAGTTTATACTAGATGGTATAAGATATATGAACACACTCTAAATCTTTACGGATATTTTTTAAATTATTAAAAACAAATAGATATGGTTCACTATAATCATTAATACGTCATATTATTAAAGCTAATATATAATTCTTGGACTTGTTTTATATTTAAAAAATAGGTCCATTTATCAAAATATGATTTTCTCTATTCGCGTGAAATATGAGAAGATAGTTGATCCAATTTTCTATGAATTATCTAAATATGTAATTTTAAATTGCTAGATTGTTTTTCTTGATAAAATTGATATCATAGCAGTCTTCAACAAAGACCGTGGCGAATCCGTATATCTTTTACTTGTGTCTATTGTCTTTTGTAAATGATTAGAATATAATTATTTAATTTCCATTAATGTGTCAGAACGTAATAATTCAATTTTATTCAATTCAGATTCAAACATTTTTGTCTCAGAACAATGGAATGAACGCCATTCACAATTATATATGTATTTTTGCTTTCTCAGAATGTGTTTTAAGGTTAATTATATCAACCTAATGATCTAGACATTGCACGAGAAAGATGAAAACTTGAGATATATAGAGTACGTGAGATTATTGTAATTAAATTTGCTCGTTAAATCGTGATTCTAGTTTTTGCTTAGAATTGCCATTGAATATATTAGGCCGAGTATTTATCTAAGCAAGGATTCTAACATAAATAGAATCAACCTTCCATTTTGCTGCTCCTTTTGTACATTAGCATAAAAATAAATAAAGTATTTTTTTCCATCTTAGATCCAGGTGAGCTAAGAGCTTATTGCAACAGTTTCTTTTTAATCATTATATCTTGAGATTCACTGATTATATTTTTACGAAATAAAGAAAGATAGACAATAACTCCATGACTGTTTATTATATGGCAATTAACGATTTTTAGGAGTGCTTCTTTACTTCTTGTTTAAAGCTAGTTGTATCATCTACTCGAGCAAGTAGTAACAACAAAGCAACAATAATACTTCTAATAATTGATTTTTAGTTTATATTCAGCAAAGTTTATATCTTTCTAACATAACACAATTCTTCTGTAACACATCCTACATGTGTCTACAACTTACAAATGGCAAACTTTATCCAGCTCATTTTCTCTATAGTATTCTATCGCAAGAATTTCTATCGCGTCTGCTAATTTCTTAGTTTTTTTTCTAGCGATTTTGGCCGACAAGACTTCATTAACTTTAAGATAATTATTAAAATAATTTTGTAAAATTTTAAGCTATAGAGAACTTATTGAGTTTTTATAATCTTGTACTGTTTGCAATTTATATCTCATAAATTATGAATTCAGTTACTTATGGGAAAATCTCTGGCACACATTACTAGCTGGATATATTATTTAGAAATTTATCGAGCCAGATAAAAAATAGGATGTTCGACTAATCGAAAGTGCTACAGTAGTTAGCTGCGAGCCTGAATTATCTTCTCACTTTCCATTTTATATAACTTTATTAGAA